GGAAGGGGGGAAGGGGAAAAAGAGAGGTCTGAATTGCGTGGACATCAGGTGTGGGAGCAGACACGTGTCGTTTCTTCAACACTTCAATTGCAATTGCATTTCGCTCTTAGACTATTTATTTACTACAGTCTTCCCCCGAATACAACGTACGGTCATTATAGCTGAATTTGGTCTGAATTTGGTGGATCTTTCAGTCCAAATTCAGCTATAATGACCGTACGTTGTATTCGGGGGAAGACTGTAGCAAATCGTGAGGTTGTAAAGTGAATCGGGGTTGGAGGGGACGGATAAAGAGGAAGAGAGCGGCAGGCGGGAGAGAGGAGGTGGCCCAGGGAGTGGCAGTCTTTTTTTTCGGATGCGAAAAAGATCCCGATAACAGGTCGCGACGCGGGAGGAGGTCCCCCGGACTGTCGTTCGATTGATACCGACCTATGATTGGAAACACGTGGAAGAGCTCGATCGCCATCACGTGGTGCTGACGTGGCCCCCTGCTTCACCGCGGACTTGTGCACGTCGAGAACGTGAACGTCGTTTTCTTCTGGAACATGAATGAGGAGGAGCAGGAGGAGCAGGAGGAGGATAACTAAGTTGTTGTTGTTTTTTTTCAGGAGAATAAAAAAAAAAAAAAGATTTTCGTACGAAATCGACCTCGAATGCGTTGAGTGTGTCTCCGTGTCTCTCCGTGTCTCTTCGTGTGTCTTCGGGGTTTTGCGTCTTTGTCGTCGTTCACCCTCCCCTTTTCTTCGGCTGACCCAACTACTGGAAGCTATGCATGACCCCGACTGGCCTCGCATGTGTGCTTGTATGTCTGGAGGAGGAGGATGAGTCTCTGCTCTTTCGTTCCCTTTGCTATTTCTTCAAAGCAGTGAATGGCCATTGCGTGCGTATCTTGTCTTGCTATCAGATAACACAACCCGGGAAGCGCAGAGGGAGAGTAGTTCTCGAAGAAGAGGAGGAGGAGAAGGAGAGGAAGCAGGAGGAGCAGGAGAGGAGGACGAGGAGGAAGAGGAGGAAGAGGAGCAGCAGCTGGAGGGAGGAGGAGGAGGAGGAGGAGGAGGAGGAGGAGGGAGAGCACCAGCAGCTGCAGGAGGAGGAGGAGGAGGAGGAGGAGGAGAAAGTCCATTTGACTCTGTGCTGGGAAAGGCACGGGGTATGCTGTGACATGGGGCGTCAAGCGCTCAAGGCCTTGTCTGCGTGGGACAGTGGGTACGAATGCTACGGTACCACCAGCAGTCGGAATATATAACCCCATTATGGAGCTCGATTCTGACGGGTGGGAATAGGTGTGGAATAGGTATGGAATACGAATGGGATGAGGATGGGGGAATGTGCATCCCCGCGGCAATACCAAAGGGGTTCGTCGGCCAAGACTCAACCAAATCAGGAATGGGTATCCCGATTGAACCAAATCAGGAATGGGTATCCCGATTGCCTTGCCTTGCCTGAAGCAATCTGGATGTCGATAGAGGAGGAGGGGGAGGAGGAAGAGGAGGGGGAGGAGGAAGAGGAGGAGGAGGAGGAGGAGGAGGAGGAGGAGGAAGTGGCCGAGGAAAGGAGGAGGAGGAGGAAGAGGAGGAAGTGGTCGAGGAAGGGAGGAGGAGGAGGAGGAGCAATCGGCCAGCAGGGGCCTCTCATCGTGACAGCCTGGTCGGCAAGGATGAGAGAGAGAGAGAGCTGTCTCTTATACACATCTAGATGTGTATAAGAGACAGGGGTAAAGGCCCCAGCCCCCTCTCCGGGTTGTTT